CATCAAGACCTTTCATTTAAGTACCCACATCATTTTTTCATATATTTATATATATTATATATATGTATATATGAAAAATATATCAAAAATGCATGTGGGTACTCAAATGAAAGCTCTTGATGAGTGTAACATCAAGATGAGCTTATTTCTTTAAAAATGTCAATAATTAAGAAATTACCTTGTAACTTGTGAAGTATTGACATTCTTAAGAATATAAACTCATCCCGATGTTGCACTCATCAATACTTTTCATTTGAGTACTCACATCAATTTTTCATATATTTATATATATTATATATATTTCACAAATACCATATATATAAAATATATAAAAAATACCATGTGGGTATTCAAATGAAAGTTCTTGACGAGTCTAACATCGGGATGAGCTTATATCTTTAAAAACTTCAATATTTAAAAAAGTACAGAGCAAATTATCAAAATTTATTATTTAATAAACCAACATTTTATTTATTTATACTTTACATCACGGCAGTCACGTAGGTACTGCCAGGTTGCTAGTTATCATTAATAACGTAAAGTGTCATTGAACCGAGAACTTTTCTGGCATAAATCAAGTTTGACGTATAATGCCGAGCTTTCTACTAAAAAAAAAAAAAATTAGCCTATATAAATACAAATTTTATATACAAAGTCACTTACTTTGTAAGCGAACATTATCAACTTGAAAGCTCTTACAATCAAAATCCATACATCAGCTGTAACTTCCATAAGTGTCCTCGTCAACACACAAGTTTCACTATTAAGAGCTTCTTCAGCTCAAGTACTAATTTTTTTACTTCCCCAGCAATTTTTTTTTTTTTTTTTGTGAAGGAACTTCAGTGTTAATTAAATTATTCTATAAAATTGGAAAAATATTGGACACAATTTATTTAAATTTAAATTAAAAAAAGACATCTCAAACTATCCATTTAATTCGGAATTCAATCTTTCTCTTTCTCCTGATAGGAATGTGGCCTTTTAATTTACTAGAGCCTCGATTCGAGCATGTTACAGTGCAATTAATGTAGGTCAACTGTGTTCTTCAATTCACATTACGGATTTCAATGAAATTTTATACCACTAATTAGTTTTACTTTGAAGGGTAGGTCAAGTTAAATTGTATGTTTTCCACTAGTGTTTTTTGTTTTATTATTAAGAATTTTTTTTTTTTAAGTATCATTAATATTATTAATTTTTTATAATAACACAGTTGAACTCAAGTGATCATCAGCCGTATTAATTTAATAAGAAATGCGCGATCACATCTCATTATCCGTACACGTTTTATAGTTGATTTACTTCAACCGCTAAAATATCCTGATTAAATTATCCGATAATTGAACAAGTATTTTATGGCTTGATCGATCAAACAAAAAAACCAATTAATTTTTATCAATGAATTATTAAACCTTCCTTTAAAAACACAAATTCAATTCTTTTTACACTGATAGAAAGATTTCTTATTAATAATTTAATTTGAAGAATATTATTTAATTTATTAAATTTTAATAAATATTTTTTAACTGTTAATAAATATACTTTAACAAATATCCCTGTTTAAAAAAAATTAATTGGAAAAAATTATAAAAATTCGCTCTATGTAAATTATATATCTATATACTGAGAAATTGAAAAAAATTCAAGTCTAATGATAGTGAATTTTTTTTAATGAATATTTTTAAACAGAGATTTATTAAAATTTAATCTATTAAATCCCGTCATAAATTAATTTATTAATTACCAAACCTTATTTAATATAAACAAATCCTTCTATCAGTGTCCACATCTATACATACATCTATAAAAAAATATATATCCCTATACATACACACAAAGCGAACGTTAGTAGAATGATTAAAAAAATTGTCGCTTGTGGATTAAGGAACTTTATACCGACGACGGAGATAAATTAATCGAAGCACGACTCGTTGCTTTTCCGGCCGTTAAAAAGCGCGCCAATCGATTTCCGCCGTTCATTTTTAACATAGGCACGTGGAAATTTTTAAATTAAATCTACAAATTTAAAATCACCTTAAAAAAATAAATTCCTTTTAATTAATAAACTTACTCAACCACGTGGAACAATTTGTTTTTCCATAACTCCAATCGTTACTAAAATTCTCACTATTAACCCCCGATTCAACATCTCTATTATTATTTAAGTCAGTTCTCCTAATTTTATTAATTTTATTTATTTTATTAATATTGTCACTATTTTCACAGTTAGAAAAACGATTATTATTTTTAACAAAATTATGTGAATTATTAAGGCACACGCGTGATTTTTTTTTCGAAAGGGCCCTATTGACACCATCAAAATACTGAAAACAATTAGTGTTATTATTATGGAATACCCTGTGACTTGTAGTCCTTTGATCGCGCATCATAATAGCTTCCATTGTCGTAAAATTGTTAATATTAATAATTGTTTCCACTGTAAGGATATCCTCAATATTCATTTTGGCAATCAAAGTGTTAAATTATGTCACTATTACCATTAAGTAATGAGTAATTAGTAAAATGAACTGTCATTTGACGGGAATTCACAAAAATAGTCTGCACAGAATCACAATCCGTTTAGCACTGGTTCCCGTACAGCCATGCACCGATTCTTATATGAGGGGTGGGGGGGTAGAGGTAAGGAAAGAGAAGAGTGGAGGAGGAAGGGTGTCCTGTGGCGTCATAGAAGGAGACTATAGATACTATAGAGACTATAACTAACTAACTAAACCTCTATAGGCGGGAGTCGGCATTTTTTTAGGGTACAACCATCAAAATCTCAACAGATTGCGCCAAATAACAAAATTTAACGGTAGATTACAATAGCACGTGGTTCCTCGGTTTATTTCGAGTAGGAAATTACACCCTCATCCCCTCCAGTTGCACTGTATAAGCATGGCACATCCCCTCCACTTGCAACTAACCAGTGGATGAATATCCCCCTCTTCTTTAAGGAACATATATATAATACTACATCGAGTTCAACTGTTCTCATTCATAACTCCCCACTCTAGGTGACTTTCCCCCACTGTGCGCAGTCGTACGCCACTGTGGTGAGGTACATTCACTCCTACTAACGCGTGCTAGTCACCCGCTGGATATTCAGGATTATGATTTTGTTAGAATTTCGTTTTATTGCAGGATTTATCTGCCAGGAAGTCGGATTTTATGGAAAATAATTGTTTATTTCAGGCGGAATATATTGTTGTTATTGTTTTTTTATTGTTTTAGTAATCGGACAAATGATAATTGGCCTGTAAAGTTTCTTTGTAGAACAATTATTGAATTGCTCATGACAATAGATACTTGATGCAAAAAATAATCTACTATTTGGTATTTAGTATTTATATTTAACTTTCTGTCTGGTTTTAACGACCGCACCCTATTGGCTGTAATGTTTTAGTTGGTTAGTTGGTTTTTTTTTTTATTTTTTTTAATAGCTATTCATAATTAACAATAATAATACAATGTCTTTTGTGACACATTTACCTTTTCAAATAATATTGTTTATGTTTTTCTTT